TGGGCAGGGTAACTACTTTTCCCTGCCAGAAGGCTACTCCCCTCTGCTTCCTGTTCCCTTTTTGTAGCTCTTATCCCTCACCATCCACCTCTAGATCATACTCTTTGCACCACTAACATTTTAGCTTCTTTCCCCACCTCACTTCTGCTCTGTCATTCCCCCCCCCCCAATTGTTCCCCACTTCCTTGTGTCTCACTTCCTTTTCTTACCCTCTGAATGCAGTGAATTCACATCTGCTTCCACCAGGGCTGAATGTGGCCACCCATGTCAGTCTCACTCACCACTTTGCTTTTCTTTCCTCAGCTTCTTTTCTCCTATTTTCCCACATTCCTTCTTTCTCTCCCACCTCACTCCTGCCTTCTGTTTTTCAATTCTCTATCCTTCCTCTTGCTGCTCTCTGCTTATCCTCCCAACCCTTCTCTGTTTTTTTATCCCATGTCATCATCTCTGCCAGTTCTCCTTCTCTCCAGTCTTCTTTTCTTTGACTTTCTCTTCCCCATTCTCCTAGTCCTCTGCCTATTATTCCCCTCTTTGTCAGCCACTAACAGATGAGGAAGAACTGCTTGCCCCCACTCCGTAGACTAGTTAATGCATAATTACTCACTAGAGAAGAAGTCTTTCTTGCACCTTCTTCACTAGCATCTGGTCCTGGCTGCTCTCAGAGATGGGATGCTGTACTAGATGGGCTATTAGTCTGAAATAGCATAGTAATTCCCAAGTTACCCAACAGAGGGATAATTTAGATGTATAAACGTCAGGCCTGGAATACTCCTTGGAACCACATGTTCAAATCTGGACAAGTTCAGTTTATGCCTTCATCTTCTGAGACAGGTTAGTTCAACACCATGAAGTTTAGAGGCCTTTCTTATAAGAAAAGTAACATGCAAAAGGGAAAAAATGACTTCTGAACCTTTAATGGATTCTTTGAGATAGAAGAAAGACCTGAGAAATGTCTTCAAAAACCTTTCTTCTGTTTGTTTAAACATCAGGTCTGTTCTGCCTTGATTTCACTAGAAGGCTTTAATGATAACTGGATTACACAGGATTATGACAGCAAAGCTACATGGTGCAAATGAAACCCAGGTGAGAGCGGTAGTGATTTTTATTCAGACTGTTTAAAATCTGTTCTTTATTTAACATCTTTTTAATTTACACACATGGGAGATGTTTGACAAGATGTGTCTGTTAAATATAAGTACAGTCACTCTTTCAATAAAGGGCTAAGAAAATGCACATCTCTGAAACTTCCAACAAGAGTTCTAGCAAAACCAAGGAAGACTGAATTGCTAGAAGTCTTTTTGGAAGTTTTCCTATTTCTAAGGGGTGTGTGTGGTGGGGGGAGGACACCCTTTTTGTGCAGAGGAAGGAATACTTTAAAGTCATCTTTATACATCATAATCACCCTTTACGATTTCAATTTTTAGGGGCAATGCCCAGCACAGTGGAGCTCTGACTGCTAGCGCCTAAAAGCTTCATAACAGTATATTAACTCAAGGCCTTGTGATCTCTTTAGAGATGTATTTTGGATGAGTCAGGGCTTGCCATGGTGTCTTTCCACATTTCAATTTCATTGCACCACTGTGATGCAATGTCCTAGATGGTTGTGCCCTCCTGTTCCAGAAGTGGGCATATGAAAGATTCTTTATTAATGTGCAGTTGATTAACCTTGTTTATGAAATACTCAAACTACTTGTGAAATCCCAGAAAAAACCTGAATTTGTATGATGTTTAATCAATATTATCATTTGTAAAAACACATAGGGTCACAATAATGTTTGTATTCCTGCATAAACAACACCAAGGAAATTGTTAATATGCACCACTATTATGCTGAATTCCTCATCTCCTTTTTTGAGACTGCTCCAAAATTTCACACGTAGCTTTATCAACTTTATACATACTTGAGTTGTGCAAGTCAAAACAAAACAAAGTTTGCCTCGATGCAAGGACAAAAGCATCCCTCACACCAAAAAAGCACTTTATGGCTATTTATTGTATTTAAAAAAACAAACAAAAACCTCTAGATTATTCCTGCCTGGGGCAATCAGACCACTTCAGTGTTTTCTTAACGAATGGCACACTTCAACACTTTTTAAAATGTAACCCTTGTGCTCCTAATAGGCTTGGCTGCACGTCCATTTAAAAATGAGACAAAGCAAAAAGATCTAACCCACATCTTTTATGTGTTAGCTGGTAATAAAATTACTAATTGGAAAAATAAAAGGCCTGTGTTTGGATATTATCCAAACTTACTTAAACTTGTTTAGTTTTGTATATCATGGTCATATCTAAAATACTTCTTATATTGTATTTTTTAGGCCCTGATCTTGCAAAGATATAATGTACATGCTTAACTTTGTATACATGTAGTTTCCTTAAAGTCAGTGGGACTACTTACATATGTCAAATGAAGCAAGTGTAGGCCTTTGTTGCTAGTTTTTACTAAAGATAAACAATATTGTTGATAGTACAAACTTTCTTACATAAATGGGTGATAAACATAAAACAAAAAGCGTAGCATAGGTACTGAATTACAGTGCCTACGTACTACAAAAGTTACAGTAATGACTTACAAAAATCTATACATCCCACTTAGCCTATCTTTATAGAAAAAATAAAATCATAGACTTTCCCAAGATGTGAAACTTGGAACTTATCTGAAGTGTGGTATTATGATTGGAGGGGATGTGACAAATTACTCCCATTTGTGTCCATCTCTTTAAATTTAAAAAAAAATAATAATCAAAACTTAGGGGGGAGAATTTTACTGCTTGTGAAAAATGCTGGATTAGCATCACTAGAAAATAGTTCTTTTGTTACTCCATAGATAGGCAGAGTATGGGTTGTAGCAGTGCAAGCTTCTCTTCCTTTCAAACTCTGTTATTGGATACTATCCTCCTTGGGGAGTGGAGGGGAAGGGAAGGAACATTATATGGAAACAGGTGCTTACAAAGCCCCGAGATCCAAACATCAGGTTCCTGTCTTTTGTTCCCTGTTATCTCAGATTTTGAGAGAGTCTGAATGAGAAGTTTAGGGCTTACTCCTGCCAGGAACACCCCCAAAACTCATGGACTTCAGTGAGGTAGGACTGGGCTCTGTCTCTGCCTAGTCCTTATTTTGACCAGAAGGAACTAGAATGGAAGAAACACTTAAAGCATCTCCCTACTGAAAACAAAAATCTGCCAATAACAACCATCTATGCTTTAGTGAGATACAGAAGCAGCTTATTATAATTGTGAGATAGGACCTTCAAATACCCCCAAAACATAAAAGCACATGTTAAGAAAAGCAGTTTTGCTAGTGTATGTAATAGAACAAAACTGTTTATGGGTGGGGTTGTTATAGCTAAGCAGAGTCTGGTTGGCAGTTCTGGGAAATTTCTGAAAGGCCCTGAAATTCAATCCTTCCAGTTTGCCTGGGTGGTATTGAACAATTTACTCACAGTATTCACAATGTGGCCTTATTCACTGTAGTGAGGTCAGCGGGGTTAGTGGTGGGCGTAAAGGGGTCACAATTTGGTCTTTAAACTCTGTTCCTCAGTTTCTCCGGCTGTAAAATGGGATTATAATGCTGCTTCTGTAAACTGTTTCCAGCGCTACAGGTGAAAGGACTGTAGCTGTAAGCGCTATCTTTTGTCCAAAAGCCTTTCATGGTTGTAGACAGCACCCCCTACTCTCAAAGCCCATTTAGGGATTTAGTGTTTCTCAGCTCTCCTCCCAATTTGCAAGCGTAGGGTCATTAGGCGGGTTTGTTCCTCTATGGTATTTGCGCCCGAACTATAAAACCAGGATGACACGGTGCAGTGGGCCCCAGCTGATGCACTGTTTTATCAGTTGATCTCCCTTCTGGGAATGGGGCGGAAGGGGTAACTGCGCACAAGGGTAAACAACACTTGTAGCAGAGATCCTGTGGCTACGCTGTCCTTGTGAGAGAGACGTGTGGGATAAGGCTGGATCTGGAAGGCAGCCATGTGCCGGCACTCAGCCTCCCATCATTCCTACTGCCGAGGGCAGCTTTACAGTGTTGGGGGTTTTCTGTCTCAGAGTCTTTCGGTTTCTGGGACCTTTCGTTTTTTCATCCAAGTCTCTCTGGCGTGTTTCGGTCTCTTCCTTCGGCGGCAGGATCGCTGGGCAGCAAAGAGCACAGGGCTGAGTCTGGAGCGCGAGTCATTTAAAACGGACCAGGGCAAGGGCGATGTCCCCGCGTGTAGCACAGGAGACGAAGAACTGCGTCTCCAGGAGCCCGGGGAGATCCCTACGCTAGGAAACTGATCCCCCCCCCGCTCCGGCCCCCCGTAAATACACACCTCCCCTCCCCGACAGCCACACAACTCCAGCGCGGCTTGCCTCGGCACTTGCCTGCGGACAGGGACTCAGGCTCCAGGGAACTTCTCTCCCGCGTCCAGCCCCACCTCTTGCTGAAGCCCCTAGACACCCCCTGCTTGCCCCCTCCGCAACATCTGGCCACCCCAGCGTCTGCCTGGTTCTCAACCCCCCCCCCCCCCTGTCTGCCCCCCCCGGCAACATCTGGCCACCCCAGCGTCTGCCTGGTTCTCAACACCCCCCCCCAGCTACCCCTGTCTGCCCCCCCCCGGCAACATCTGGCCACCCCAGCGTCTGCCTGGTTCTCAACCCCCCCCCCCCCCCCGTTACCCCTGTCTGCCCCCCCCCGGCAATATCTGGCTACCCCAGCGTCTGTCTGCTGTCAATCCCCCAGCTACCCCTCCTGCAACATCTGGCTACCCCAGCGTCTGTCTCATTGCCAGCCCCCCCCCAGCTGCCCCTGCCGCCTCTGCAACATCTAGATACCTCGAGCCTTTGCCTCGTCCCCTAGCTGCCCCTACCTGCCCCCTCTGCAACATCTGGCTACCACTATCCTCACTGCCTGTGCCTCTGGCGAGGACTCCCCAGCCCCCGGGTACCGCTGCCTGTCCCCGGTGGAACATCTGGCTGCCGCGGCAGCTCCTCTCCACGTCCCCCCGCTACCATCTGACCGCCGCAGGGGGCCGCTCTCCTCCTCGGCAGGCGGGGTAGGCAGGGGCTGCGGCGCTGCTCTCCGAAGAGGCCGAGGGAGCTGCGGAAGCAGAGGCCGCCCGATGGTGCTGCAGAGCGGCCCGGGAGAGGCAGGGCGGCGGCGGCTGCCCCGGAGCCTGGCTGCCCTGCTCCTGCTCCTGGCTCTGGGGCACACCTGGACCTACCGGGAGGAGCCCGAGGAGCGCGACAGGTGGGTCCCCCGCTTCGCCCCACCGGGGCCGGCTCCCCGCCCGCGCCGCCGAGAGCCCCGGGCTGCACCTGGCAGCCCCAGCCCGGGGCGCCCCCGCGCCGCTGCCCGGCCCCGCTCGGGCTCTGGCTAAAGCCGCCTCTTCTCTCCGGCTTCCCCCGCAGGGAGGTTTGTTCCGAGAACAAGATCGCCACCAGCCGGTACCCGTGCCTGAAACCCAGCGGCGAGCTGGCCACCTGCTTCAGGTGAGGGCGGGGCCGCGGGCGGTGTGTGTGTTACGGGGGGCCGCCGTCTCCGGCTGTGTGTGTTACCGGGACTGCCACCCCCTCCTCCTCTGTGTGCGTGTTACCAGCACGGGTGTGTGTGTGTGTTACCGCGACTGCCACCCCCTCCTCCTCCTCTGTGTGTGTGTTACCGGGACTGCCACCCCCTCCTCCTCCTCCTCTGTGTGCGTGTTACCAGCACGGGTGTGTGTGTGTGTGTGTGTGTTACCGGGACTGCCACCCCCTCCTCCTCCTCCTCTGTGTGTGTGTGTGTGTGTGTGTGTGTGTGTGTTACCGGGACTGCCACCCCCTCCTCCTCCTCTGTGTGTGTGTTACCAGCACGGGTGTGTGTGTGTGTGTGTGTGTGTGTTACCGGCACGTGGGACCGCCGTCTCCGGCGGTGTGTGTTACCGGGACTGCCACCCCCTTCTCTTCCTCCTCTGTGTGCGTGTTACCAGCACGGGTGTGTGTGTGTGTGTGTGTGTTACCGGGACTGCCATCCCTTCTCCTCCTCTGTGTGTGTGTTACCAGCATGTGGGACTGCTGCCTCCGTGTGTGTGTGTTACCGGGACTGCCACCCCCTCCTTCTCCTCTGTGTGTGTGTTACCAGCACGGGCGTGTGTGTGTGTGTGTGTGTTACCAGCACGGGTGTGTGTGTGTGTGTGTGTGTTACCGGCACGTGGGACTGCCGTCTCCGGCTGTGTGTGTTACCGGGACTGCCACCCCTTCTCCTCCTCTGTGTGCGTGTTACCAGCATGTGGGACTGCTGCCTCCGTGTGTGTGTGTTACCGGGACTGCCACCCCCTCCTTCTCCTCTGTGTGTGTGTTACCAGCACGGGTGTGTGTGTGTGTGTGTGTGTTACCGGCACGTGGGACCGCCGTCTCCTTGTGTGTGTGTGTGCCTGCGTGCGCGTGTGTTCTCCTTCTCTGGGTGCGTGTTACTAGCACGTGGGACTGCCGCCTCGGGGTGTGTGTGTGTGTGTGTTGCAGGGACTGCTGCCTTCTCCTCTGTATGCTGTTACCAGCATGGGCATGTGTGTGGATTACCAGCACGTGGGACTGCTCCTGTGTGCGTGTGTGTGTTTGTTACGGGGACTTCCCTCTTCTCTGTGTGTGTTACCAGCATGTGGGACTGCCACCTCCTGAGTGTGTGCCACCGGTGCCTTGTGTGGTATGGTCACTGTGTTGTGAGAGTGTGCGTACTTGCTACCAGAATAGGACTGCCTCCTGTGTTTGTGGGGAGGTGCATTGTGTTGTGACAGCTGGTGTGTGCTTGTTGGTATGAGAATGTATGACCGTCTCCTTGTGTGTGTGACACTTGTGTGTTGTGTTGTGTGGTTGTGAGAGTGTGTGCTTGTTACACAGTGTGACTGCTGCCTCTGGCAGGCGTGTATGACTCTTGTGTGGCAGGGGATTGTGTAGTGATAGTGTGTGCTTGTCTTTGTGTGTTGTGATTGATGGTGTATTATGGCAGTTGTGTGATTGTTGTATTGTGGTGAGTGTCATCATCAAGCACACAGCCTCCTGAAGGCTGTTGTGCCAGGCAGAGTGGTCACAGTTGCTGGTGTGGCACCAGACATTGTGTAGTGAGTTCCCAGACCTGGCTCAATCCTATGAGTGGGTGTCTTGTCTGTATGAGAATGCCTGACGGTCTCTTTGTGTGTGTGTTATGATGGATGGGGTGTTATGGCACTAGTGTGACTGTTGTGATCAGCGAGTGTGTGGTGACAGTGAGAGTGTGTATTTTGTGTGTGTAAGTGTGTGTATTTGGAGTTTGTAGGCTATGGGACGCTGATAGTAGTACACACGTAAACATTCATGACAGTCCTATCGAGAAGATGAATAGCTGGTTTAATGGTTGCATGTTGTTTATAAAAGTTGTATCTAAAGTCAGCCAGAAAGAAATGTTTAACATTTGACTGGCTTGGTCATTTTCCCTTGCAAAGTCTTTCAGCAGCTGTATCTGCTTAGCACTTAGACTCAGGGAAGTTGCTCTGTGGAGTGAATGGGATGCAATGTATCCAGCACGTGCTCTGGTGAGGTTGAGTTAGGGACTGTAACAGGTAACCCCCGCTGTACTAGTAACATTTGCTAAATTATAGCAGCTCTCCATCCACCGAAAGGTACAGCCTGAGGAGTAGCAGTATAGGCTTCCAAATACATTGCTCTGGTAGCATTTGTCTAAATCTTACTCTTGAGTGAACAACCAACAGGGGTAAGGGGATAATTCAATCCCTGGGCCCATTTCACCATTGACCTCTGTGCTGTGACTACCAACAAAGGTACCAATAGTGACAAATATATTTAGATAGATACTTGTCTATTATGAACCCACTGAAAACACCATCATATAATTATGGCTTTCGATCATTGCTGGTTTTCAGCTGTGCCAGGCTATAGCATATGTCTTAGAAGTGAATGGTTTCATATTCCACAGGGGTGCAATTCAAGGGAATGATATTGATGTATGAAACCCTGCATGATTTGCATAACTGACACTTCCTCTTGCCATGCACTAATGAGGGCTGCATTTAAAATCAGCCAACATGCCCTAGCTAGCAGCCCCTAGATTTGAATGTTTGGGGTATGCTGGCCAGATGTTCTTAGTGGAGTGGTTTTGGACTGTCATACTCACTTTTCCTGTTGATCTGAAAGAGCCTGAGTTTAACCTTTGGGGTATGGTTCATAAATCCATCTATTTACTTAGGCCTTTGCCTGAGATAAGTTGATGGGAAGGATGTTATGTTTTAAGAATGGCCTTCCTGCAGTTATTGATCAGAGATACTGTCTCTGAGTTTCCACTTTATATTATATGTTTGTAAATTTGAGGAATGTCCTCTTTATATACGGTTGTTTGCAAGAAATTATCAAAACTAGAATTGTTTCTAACTGCTGTAAATGTACCCAGAGACTTTGTCAAAGACATAAACTGCAAACAAATATCTAATTACCAATGTCCTCTGAGTAATCTAGTCTGTCTCAGACAAGATGTTTAGCCTCTGAGAGGCACTTCCCTCTACAGAGCCACTTCCAGAGGTAACTGCATTGGGGTGTATGTGCGAGAAGTGATCTGTCTGCTATTACATATAGGAAGCATGCGATACGGTGAAAGCACTTTAGTGCTAGTGAAAGGCATTAAAGAAGTCCATAAATGATAGAAAACAAAGGGGAGTTTTTAAAAACCTCTTTTGGTGACAGATTGTTTTTCTTTTCACAATGCCTTTTATTTAGTATAAGTATAGGTGGTTTGAAATGTAGCTTTGCAGTGCACATAGGTCCTGCCTCCCCTCTGACTGTAAACGGGGAATTGTCACTAGTGGATGTGTTTCCAGTTGGATCCCTCAGGGAATGGTTTTGGCCTTACGCTATTTAACATTTTTATCAGCGACCTGGAAGAAAACATAAGACCAACACTGATAAAGTTTGCAGATGCCACAAAAATTGGGGGAGTGGTAAATAATAAAGAAGATAGATTACTGATTCAGAGAGATTTGGATCAATAGATAAACTGGAAGCAAGCAACATAGGCGCCAGCTCTGTGGGTGATCTGGGGCTGGAGCACCCAAGGGGAAAAAATGGTGGGTGCTGAGCACCCACCAGCAACCCCCTTATCGGCTCAGCCCCACACCCCACCAGTGCCTCCCACCCGCTGGCTGGGCCCACGGATCAGCGCCTCTCCCACGCCTCCAGCCCGCCACAATCAGCTGTTTCATGGAGTGCAGAAGGCTCTGGGGGAGAGGGGGGAGGAGCGAGGACACAGCACGCTATGGGGTGGGGGCAGAACTGGGCAGGAAGGGGTGGGGATGGGGTGGGAAGAGGCAGGGTGGGGGCAGGGCCTTGGGGGAAGGAGTGGAGTGGGGGCAGAAGCCAGGGATGGAGTACCCCCTGGCACTTTGGAAAGTCCGTGCCTGTGGCAAGCAAACAATGTGTGTTTGAATATGAGTAAATTTAAACGTGTACATCTAGGAACAAAGAATGTAGGTCATATTTATAGGATGGGGGATTCTATGCTGGGAAGCAGTGACTGAAAAAGATTTGGGGGTTGTGGTGGATAATCAACTGATCATAAGTTCCCCGTGTGAAGCTGTGGACAGAAGAGCCTATAGATCCTGGGATTCATAAACAAGGGGATCTTGAGTAGGAGCAAAGAGGTTATTTTATCTCTCTATTTGATACTGGTGTGATCACTGCTGGAATACTGTGCCCAGTTCTGGTGCTCACAGTTCAAGAAGGATGTTAATTTGGAGAGGTTCAGAGAAGAGCAAGGAGAATGACTACAGGATTAGAAAACATGCCTTATAGTGATGGATTCAATCTATCTGTTTATTAAGCTAACTAGAGTCTAGTTAGCTTAATAAACAGAAGATTAAGGGATGACTTGATTATAGTTGATAAATATATACACGGGGAACAAATATTTAATAATGGGCTCTTCAGTTTAGCAGAGGAAGGTTTAACATGATCCAGTGGTTGGAGGCTGAAGCTAAACAAATGCAGACTGGAAATAAAGCGTACATGTTTAACGGTGAAAGTAATTAACCATTGGAACAACTTACCAAAGGCTGGTGGATGCTCCATCACTGACCCTTTTAAAATCAAGATTGGATGTTTTCCTAAAAGATCTGCTCTAGGAATTATTTTGGGGAAGTTCTCCAGTCTGTGTTATGCAGAAGGTCAGACTAGATGATCACAGTGGTCCCTTCCAGCCTTGGAATAGATGGATCTCTGAGGTACGCCTGGGGTTACAGAATATGCCAGTGTAGACGGCCAGCCAAGGGGATGTCACAGCACAGTCGCTGCTGCCCCCAGAGAGCGCCAGTGTATCATCGCACACTCTAGAAAGGGTTGGATGGTGCCATGACTCACTTCTTTTTTTCTCCACTGGTCCCTGCCCCAACCCGCAGCTGAATCTCCCGTCTTCCTTTCCCCCATCCCCATGGCTTTACTTTTTAAAGATACAATAGAGCCCATCATTGCATACAGTTCCTTAACCCACAGTACCACAAAACATTTCACAGAGAGATGGTAATAAGCAGTGGAGAAAAGGAAGGCTGCCGAGTGGGATTTAAAGTGTCAGTGGTTCAGAGACAGAGTTGTCAGATAGATGAGGCAGCTTCACTGAGAGAGCAACCCCGACTGGAGAGTTTGAAGACTGAAGGTACAGAATGAGCAGTGTGAGGTCCAGGTACTGAGGTGTGTTTGGTCTCCCTGAAGATAGAATCATAGAAGATAAGGTTGGGAGAGACCTCAGGAGGTCATCTAGTCCAACCTCCCACTCAAAGAAGGACCAAATCCCTACGGATGGAGATTCCACCACCTCCCTAGGTAACCCATTCCAGTGCTTCACCACCCTCCTAGTGAAATAGTGTTTCCTAATATCCAACCTAGACCTCCCACACTGCAACTTGAGACCATTGCTCCTTATTCTGTCATCTGCCACCATTGAGAACAGCCGAGCTCCATCCTCTTTGGAACCCCCCCTTCAGGTAGTTGAAGGCTGCTATCAAATTTCCCCTCAGTCTTCTCTTCTGCAGACTAAATAAGCCCAGTTCCCTCAGCCTCTCCTCATACGTCATGTGCCCCGGGCCCCTCATCATTTTCGTTGCCCTGCACTGGACTCTCTCCAATTTTTCCACATCCTTTCTGCAGTAGGGGGTCCAAAACTGGACACAACACTCCAGATGTGGCCTCACCAGTGCCAAATAGAGGGGAATAATCACTTTCCTCGATCTGCTGGCAGTGCTCCTACTAATGCAACCCAATATGCCATTAGCCTTCTTGGCAACAAGGGCACACTGCTGACTCATATCCAGCTTCTCATCCACTGTAATCCCCAGGTCCTTTACTGCAGAACTGCTGCTTAGCCAGTCGGCCGCCAGACTGTAGTGGTGCATGGGATTCTTCCGACCTGAGTGCAGGACTCCGCACAGGTCCTAGTTGAACCTCATCAGATTTCTTTTGGCCCAGCCCTCCAATTTGTCTAGGAATCCTCCAATTTGTAAAATTCTCCCACACTCGAGGGGTCCCAAATGCAGCAGTAGCAATGTCGTTCTGCTCTGTGTGCAGTGGGGCAAGACTTTGCCTGGGTACCAACGGCATCACAGCCCATGTCTGTAATAGTTGTACTGCCGTCCCCACGCTTTAAAAAATCACAATGGATCAGGCAGAAAAAGTAATGAGAGTGCCTTTAAAATCAGGAGATTTCTTTTTAAAAGTAACTTTTGGGTTCTTTTTGCTTGCCTTCCGGTTTCTGGGTCTTTAGGGCTCACTTGGGTCATGTTTTTGAGCTTTTGTCCACTACATGGGCATTTTCGCTGTTTTCTGTAAGGAAATGCCATTTTGAAAAAAATGAAATTTTTCAGAGCATTGCACAGATTTTTGACAACATTTTTGTTTTGAAACAAAATTGAAAAAATCCATTTAAAAATGTCTGGTTTGACATTTTTGGAATGAAAAGTTTTGATTTTTTTAATTTGAAATGTATTTGATATTAAATTAAAACAATAGTAAAGGTTGAAATTGAAATGAAACCTTTTTAATTCATCAAAACAAAATGAATTTATTTTCAGAATTTTATTTTGTGGAAAACTTTGAAATTTTTCACATTTCATCCTGATGTGGGAAGAATTTTGTTTTTCAAACTTTCACGATTTTTCATAGGATGGAAAAAGCTCTAGCGAGGATGTCCTTTTATTTCATTATTTTTAATTAATGCTGTGATTCCCATGTAATCACTTGTCTCCAGGAGCTGGGGCTCTAAGTAAATTACCTAATATTGTTAGGGTTTGCAACACTGTAGCAGTGGAAGCAGTGTTGAGTCATCTCTTGCCACCTTTAGGATTGTGAGGGGAGGAAGAGCCCCGCAACAGAACCTCTCTCAGGTCTCCCACTTACCCCCATTCTGGTGTAGCATTTGGCCCTAGGCAATGAGAATAAGTCTGAATAGTTGATTAGCTTCCCCATTTCTGGGCTCTGCTTTTCTGTTTAGAGAACATCCGTCCTGTGCTGCATGACCACACTAATCCTACCTTGCGGAGGAGGCTGTCATCCCTATCAGACTTCACCGCTGATCAGCCGTAGCAAGTGTTACTAGTGTGGTGCATGCTTTGACCCCAGCCTGAGATGGAGAAGCAAGAGGTGTCACTATGGTAGCAGCTTATGCTACCTCCCAATCTGTGAGGCTACCCCCAGAAGAATTTAAAATATATGAATATTCTCCAGTTAATGCTAATGTGTTTCCTTCGCAGTGCACTGGCAGTTACACCTACTAATAGTGAGCAAGCCAATGGAGGCTTGAGGTAGGGTGTGGCTTGATTGTGAGTTTATGAATAAAGATGAGCCAAAAGCAGGGCCAAGCCAAAGAGACTATTTTGATATTATTCACTTATGATCATAGTGACCTTGTACATGACTAGATGTATTTTTTTTCTAGCATGTGCAGAGTTTGGCCCTTGGGCTTAGTTTGGTTTGTATTTATTTTTAGATGGTGCTTTTCATAGAATCATAGAATATCAAGATTCGAAGGGACCTCAGGAGGTCATCTAGTCCAACCCTTTTATTTATTTCCACAAGAGAACAGAGAAACAGATTTGAATAGCAGTTGGTGCTTCAGCCTGGCCAGTATTTTTAAGCCTTACTTTTTTTTTTTTTTTTTTACAATAAATAAAGTTGCATGTACCAATAATAAGCTTTCGTATCCATACACAGTAAGTTCTGGTCATTGCGAAGCATACAATACGATACAGGGCTTGATCTTGCATTTCTCGGGCAGCCAGAGCTCCACCTGAAATCAATGAGAATCTGAGCAGCACAAGGAAGGTAAAATTGAGCCCTTAATTATTATAATGTCTCCACCCTCTCAGATACTTGCATATGGCATATGTAGTCTGCTTAACCCCTTTAAACAGACCCTAATAATTTTATTGGTATGCCAAATTAGAATGGTATTAGCAAAATTCCTTTACTGTTCCAGGGTACCTGTGTATTACTTGGCTTGTATTTGATAAGTCATTCATTTTGTACATCTTGGTTTAGCTCTAGCAGTAGACCTGACAACCCAGTAAGCTTTTTTCACTGCTTATAGGTATTTTTGTGGATAGTTTGCTTTGCTCATTTTCATGTCATACAGTGGTGTCCTATATTATTCTTGCACTCAGTAGTGATCTGGTACGTGATTGAATGGAGGTTTCCACTCTGACCTGTGGTGAACAACTGTATGTTCCTCTATGAAACAATGTTAAATAGGACACACTGCACGCACTTTATCATAAAATAGAATAGCTCTGTTCCCATGAGAATATGGCAGTGGTTAGGATTATAGTTCTGTAAATATGGTTATTTCCAAATTAAGGAGGCTTAGCCTGTAATTTAATGTAATGCCACAATCATACCAGAGAATATTGGAGGGCAATTTAGGAAACTTATGAATACTTGTTGGAGTTGTCCTCCTTTTTTGAAAACTAACAAAACCTAACCTCACAATCAAGTAAGTCCCCCATAGTATTTTCAGGTGAGAGAAAATTATATTATGTTTAAATTCTATGATACAATGGAGATTGGTTTATAAAAGATATGATCTTCCAGAATGATAATCTAGAGCAGTGGTTCTCAAACTTTAGCAACCCGAGGACCCCCATTTTGATTTAAGATATTTTGCAGACCCCCAAGCTCCCTGCTCAGCCCCAGGTCCTGCTCCCACTCCATCCCTTCCCCCAGGACCCTACCCCTACCCTCCTCTTCCTCACCTCTTTCTGTACCCTCCCCTGAGTATGCCCCATCCCTGCTCCTCCCTCCCAGTGCTTCCTGCACGCCGCTGAACAGCTGTTCCCCAGTGTGCAGGAGGCACTGGGAGGGAGGGGGAGGTGTTGGTCAGCGGGGCCTGTGGACCCCCGGAGTACCCTCGTGGACCCCGTTTGAGAAACACTGATCTAGAGGTTTAGTAGAGATATTTGCTAATAAAAAAATGTTTAACAAACATTACAGTTATGCAGAAATTTAAACTATAGGAATAAAAGAACAGTCCAGGGCAAAATACACTTTAGCAACAGATGGGAAAATGAGAGAATGTTTCTGTCCCAAAGTAATGGAAACCACCAGATACAGTAGATACTTACTTTGCGTCCAACCCTGTGTGCTTGAGCATCTGCTAAAGGGTGCTGAGTGCCCTCCAATTTCTGTACTTTAATGGGAGAGGAGGGTATTAAGTATCTCAGAGGACTGGGACTTTTATATCGCTATAGCAAATTTTAGTTCAAACTGCTCACTAAACTTGCGTGGCTGACATTTACAAAGCATCCGTGTTAAAACACGCTGTGTTCTTCCTTACTAATCTGTGCTGATATTGGTGCACATGCACCCATGCAATAAAGAGATTGCCCACCTCTGAGAGAGATGGACTAAGTTTTTGGCCTGAGGGCCACATCTGGGTATAGAAATTGTATAGTGGGCCATGAATGCTCACGAAATCAACAATGCAGAGATATTCAAATAAACTTTATTTAATAAAGATACATTTTAGTGGAAATAAACATTAAACCTTGCTTACAATTATGAATATACTATTATAACAAAGTATTACAATGATTAAACCAAACTTACCCCCTTTTCACGCCCTGTTTGATTAACGTGAACAATGCAGCTGTCACTCCCTGGCCAACTATCCTTTGTTTTATCCTCAACAATGGAAAATTAACACTACTAAAACAGCAGTCTCCTAAGCCAGCAAGTAGCAGGCACATGGGGTTGCACGTTCCAGGCTCTGATGGTGCATTTGGGTTGTGCAGCCGCAGTAACGTGTGCCCTCACACAGGTCCCACCTGAACACGTCAGAGCGTCGGGTAGGCAGCGCAGGACAAACTGCTGACCCGACGCCACTCCCGAGGGGCCAGATTAAAAGGTCTGAGGGGCCGGATGTTGTCCGTGGGCTGTAGTTTGCCCACCCTGATCTATCTACTACTTGGAATAAGGACTGGGAGTTTGAATTCCTGGATTCTCTGTGTTTGACCAGTCCTCCCCCTCTTGCAGTCAATGAGAATTTTGCCATTGACTCAGATGGGACCAGAATCACTCACACCTGAAACTACTGTTAGTCCTCCTGGTTTACCCATCTGTAAAATGTGCACAATGTACCGGCTTCATGGGATGTAATGAATGAGGCCTACCTAATTACAGTTTGTAAAATGCTTTGCGGTCCTTGGGAGGAAAGTGCTCTAGACATGCTAATCACTATCATGGATAAGTTGTCTCCTGAGAGGTTGGTACAATTGAGTGAAGCATGATGCTGGGTTAAAGTAGGTGCTAAATAATAATTCTAGTCTTGTTCAAAATATGGGTAATATATATGAAGAGAGTGATGATTTCAAAAGTTATCAGTCTCTTAAGTACTAACAATATCCATCAGATTAGCCAGTATTTCCCTACAATAAATCCATGCAGGCTTTTGAAACAGGATATAATAATTGTACAACTATGGAATATTGTCCGTTTTCTTATCTCATAATTGTTTGGCAGCTAAAAATATCTAACTGTAATCAGTATAGTATTGCAGGTGTTGAATTCTGCCATGAAAAGGATACTCTAAACTTTATAACAAAAAGATAATTCAAATATAAGGCAGAAATACATGTATGCCTATAAGCTAGCTAATTGTGATGCTAACTGAAGATCACATTTTAAAAAAAGACTTCTTTTTATTCTATTGAATGCTGTTGTTGCTAGCAAAGTCCAATTTTTATAGACTGTGTCATTTTACACATTCTTAAAGGATAAAAGTTATTGCAAGTAAGTTAGAACTGAACTGCTCCACAAAGGGCAGTACTTCCACTGATGTGTCCCCTGGGACCACGTTCAGTTCTTAGTTCCCAGAGTCCCCGAAGAGCATGTTGCATTGCTTCCCAGTTAATTTGACTACATAGATTTTTTGAAGTTTTCAGCCAGAGAAAGCCAAGGTGATATTTTATCTCAAGACTCTTTTTTGCTTTCCAGACACCCTTTCCATTGCCTTTCTAATCCAAAACTCTGCTGTCATCACGTTCAGTGGAATCAACATAACCCTGATTCTCATTGCAATATAAGATTGTAAATTATATTTATCCAATTAGGGCAAAAGAACACATAAGCCCCAGTTATCTTGGAGCTATGTTGGAAGTTTGCTAAGAATTCAAGAGGATGAGATGTTCTTGGTTATATTTTACTTGTGCTTTGTTTTTGTTTTAGAAAAGTAAACAGCCACAACATCTGTAACAACGCTTTTGCCAAGGTTGTTTGTTTCCATAAACTAATATATTTTATTTCACATACTTTAAAGTGCAATGAGCTGCTAGCTCTTTGGGACAGTGCTGGTATCTCTGTGCCCAGCATATTGTGGCTGTGACTAGAAATGAATAATGAATCTTATTTAGTCATCATTTTGAAAATGGGAATTTCAGAATTAGATATGTCAATGCATCTGTCAGGCATAAAAGTCCTACTATATATATATATATATATATATAGCCTTAGGCCTCTAGGCACCATAACAAAAACGTGGGACCATATCCTGAGATGTGCTGAGTCCCACTGACTTGGATGGGAGTTGCAGGTGCTCAGCATCTTTAGGATTTGGCCCATTTTCTTGCTATTTTCAGAATCTGACTTTTAGTAATTCCGATTAAAATCAGTAGCACAATGCGCTTTCTCAAGCAGTAATAAGTATAACTGTGGTCATGCTGAGTACAGAAGTGCTTCTAATAGCTACCTGTCTGTCTGCTGTCTTTGCTTTTTAATTGTTCTTACTCTAGCCTGACATCCTTGGGCAGAACTTAGTGCTTGTGAATAGGGATAGTTTATAGGAAAATGTAGCATTGTTATTTTTTCACAAAACAGGTAAACCATGGCAGTGGAATAAACTTCCCCATGCCACCTAATCATTTATCCTCACTACTACTTTGAAGTAGCACCCCTAGTAACAAAGGTTTTGTGCCCATTCAGTCCTTGGCTTGATATCTTTGCTGAGACTACCAAGGGAACTGATTGTTGTCAACTCTTGTGGTGAAGTATGATGTGGACCTCTGTTAATAGGAACAAAACCAACAGCATGCACACATCTTATGTAGGTACCTGAATTGCTGGTAGTTGGTCATGATGACTTTCCACCATTACTGATTGGAGACACATTTGAGCTAGTGACAGAGGTCTTGTTTAAACACTTAAGTTGTACTGCTTTAACTGGACTGGTATAGTTAAAGTGGTACAACCCTCCCTTAGTGTGGATGCAGTTATACCAGTATAAAGGTGCTTCTACTGGTTCAGGAAAGGGAATGAGCTATGCTAGAATAAGACTCTTTACACAGGCATAACTGTGCCCACATTAGTGGTTGAACTGGTATAAATGTGTCAGTAAAAGAATTACACCCCTACCCAACATCCTTTATATGCTCGTACAAAAACTGTGTGTAGACCAGGCCTAAAATTACCATTGACAACTACCAATCCAGTCTTCCAGTATTTTATTTCTTTTTTTAATTAAAAATGTGTCCCATACCAAGGTCACAGGCTCCTTTTTATAAAGCACAGTATAATCGCTATGCTGTCACCATGTAGTTTAACTGGGAATGTTTATGAAAATCAGTGTTTGCACTCTTAGAATACTACAGTATGTGTACCAAACACATTTGACATTTATATATGATCTCTTGCAAGTCTTCACGGAGGCTAATATAGGTTTGGATGATATACTTGCTGCTTACAAGATGCAATACCAAGGGTTAGGATATAGCTGTGTGCCTTAGCTAATATATCCCCCCA